ATGAGTGAGTTTCAAAATACAACTAAACATGTTGTGCACTATGTAGGACACTGTGATGGAGAGAAGTGACATTGATAATAAGTGTTTTTCATGGTTACAAAGTGACTAGTGATGTAAGGAAGACTGTCATGGGATTTTGGGGAAGACATTGGTAAACTCTAAGCATTCATTTAAAGAGTCTGTTGGCATCTTTAGGTAGCTAAACTCTAGAGCAGAAGTGGTGGAAAGAGGACAATGGCAGGCTGTAAATAAAAACTGAATTTGCTTTCTTGCAGCTGTTGCTTTCAAGAATGCCAAGCAGTTTGACCAGGCAAGGGAAGCCTGTTTACGGGAAGCTGAGGCACATGAAAACAACAAAGCGTATCTTTTCACTGATTGATATTCCTTTTCTCCAAGAAGCATCCTAGCAGCTACCTAGATCGAGTAATGGGGGTTGGTAGAAGGTTAATATATTTGAACATTTTGTCAGTCTAACAGAATTGTTTACTAAAAGACTGTTCTGTGTGCTCTGAGTGGGAAAACTGAAGAACTCCTGGTTGGAAAATCAGTGTTGTTTCCAATAACATCTGGATCAATAAGCTGATGACAGGTGCCTAAGATGTCTAGGTACTGCTTCAGAGACTTAATTTTTTTAAAAATACATACAAATGGATAGTATAAGCTAAATGCAACTCTTGACATTATTAAAGTACTTGTAGTACCATTTAATAAGCAGGAACATATTTTAAATAGACGTACTTCTCACAAGTTCATATGCAACTGTGCTTTGGTATGTTGCATTTACTCTGTCCTTAGAATCGTTTATTGTTGACAACTTGCCTACAGATATAGTAGGTTTGATTTGTCTTTATGGAGTTCCTTGGTTTGAAACTAGTAGTTGTATGAGTTGGAACTGTTCAGGTGGTAGAGGAGAAGGTTGCATGGAGACCTCATAGCAGCCTTCCAGTATCTAAAGGGGCCTACAAGGAAGCTGGAGAGAGACTCTTTGTTAGGAACTGCAGTGATAGGACAAGGAGTAATGAGGGCAAACTGAAAGAAGGGATATTTGCATTAGATATTAGGAATAAATTCTTTACTGAGAGGGTGGTGAGACACTGAAACAGGTTGCCCAGGGAGGCTGTGGATGCCCCAACTCTAGCAGTGTTCAAAGCCAGGTTGGATAAGGCAACTGACCTAGTGGGAAGTGTCCCTGACCATGGTAGAGACAACTGGGACTAGATGATCTTTTAGGTCCTTTCCAACCCTTATTATTCTGTGATTCTGTAAGGTTTTGTACTTTTTTTTTTTTCTGCATTATATTTTTGTGACTTTTGTCCTTGACTTTGACAATTTTACTTCCAGTCTCTTCCATGCTGCCAAGTAAGTACAAAAGTGCTGAGTAATCTGAAACAAATTTTTTAACATATGGTATGACTATGAACTGTCATTTTGATCTCGCCATAGTAAGTGGTGTGGTTCAAGGAATTTTCCTGTTTCGAAATCAGTTCAATGGAAGCGTGAGTTAGGAAAGCCTGCAGTAGCCACCTGAAGAAATGATGATTTTGGCACTCTTTGGTACCTTATGATGTCAAATATTTTGTCTTAGATGAACTTCTCATAATTTTGAAATTCTACGCTGTTGAGCTTATAAGGAAATTTTTAATTAAAGAGTACTTGAAAGCAAGCAGATAATGTCAAATAATCCAAGTATTGCTTGTGGGTCAGATGAGAATAGATTTTTAGTGGGGAGTGTGGTTGAAGTACTTCATTTATGGAAGATAATGTTACATGTGTGTTGTCTCATTAAATAGAACACTTGAAACATCTTCAGAGCATTAAATATTAATAGTGAAGTGATAGCCAGTGCCTGTTAATTTTTGCTTCATAACTGCAGCTTGCTGAAATACACCATCTCTAACCAAATGAAACATTTTTTTTTCTCTGCAGAGCTTATGAACAAGCTGGCATGATGCTAAAGGTATTTTCATTTACTAGTTTTTATTGACTAGTTCTATGGTATAGTGAAGAGTATTGTACACTGGACCATTTTACAAATATATGTAAGCAAATTTCATATTAAAGTGATGCTTTTATGTTGACTCATAGTCTCCACCAACACCTTGAGTAGGTTAGGAAAGCAGCATTTGTATTTGGGGGGAAAAATAGTTTTTCTTTTATAGAAGGAAAGATGAGTGCCTCATGTCAGAGGGTAATGGAAGAGTGGTGCTGCTTTTACTCTAAATTACCACAAATTCATGACTTTTATAAAAGTTTACTACTTATAAGTGAATTTTATGGAGTTGGTGGTCAACTTTCATTAGCTCAACAAGTTCGTGAATAAAAATTAGAATTTGGATAAATAAGGTAAATACCTTAATAAAATAAATAATTTTTTTTATCTAACAAAATAAATTTGATTTGTGTCATTGTGCATAAGCTTGATTGCTGACAGCAGGTTTCCCTTTGACTGTTGCTTTACAGGAGATGCAGAGACTCCCTGAAGCAGTTCAGCTGATCGAGAAAGCCAGTATGATGTACCTGGAGAATGGGACCCCAGATACAGCAGCAATTTCACTGGAACGGGCTGGAAAGTAAGTCTGTGGCATTGGTGGCTAAAATGCATGCAGGACATGGGTATGTCTTTGGTTTCCTTTCATGGTTTTTTGATGCTTTCAGGTAAAAAGTGTTTTCATCTGAAGAGAAATTATTGATGTTTATTACAGGTTAATAGAAAATGTGAGCCCAGAGAAGGCTGTGCAGCTCTATCAGCAAGCAGCGGCAGTGTTTGAAGTAAGTGGGGGATTTTTGTCTTCGGTTTTGTTTTGGTTTTTTTTTCTTTCAGCTATAAAGTCAAGAAAAAAACCAAGATTAGGTTCTAGATTGTGGTTCCTTCCTTTTACATCAGTGGCTGAGTAGTGAAGCTGAAGGCTTCTTATGCTGTAAGGAAGGGGATTATAAAGGTAAAGAGTCAGTTTGCTTTGCCTTTTTGTCAGTTTAGGACTTGACTGAATCTGAATTTTGTACGTTGCCAAGTTTTCTGCCTCTTGTTGGGCAGCCCAGAGGGTCGGGAACATGTCTGCTGTTGAGTCATGGAGTCTAAAATAACTTGAAATCCTTGACGGCACAGAAGAGTTTGCTTGGTGCTCTATCCATCCCATGAGCCCATGATTTGGCTTTTTGCTACCATTCTCTGTTGTCAGTTGTCACGTGTTTCCGGACCAGCAAGTTTGCATGGATGTTACTTTGTTGAGCAGATCCATACAGGAGCTGGCTGTGGAATGTGGAAGCACCAATACCCTTCCATGTTTCCCTTGAGTGTGTGAACTGCTAATACAATAACTTCACAGTTGCTTTAAGTTACAGGTGACACAGATTAAGATTTAGTGGTCTGTACTATGAAAATGAAGTAAGAATTGATGAATTCTTTTTGCTGTTCTCTAGAATGAGGAACGTTTACGGCAGGCGTTAGAAATGCACGGGAAGGCATCAAGACTTCTGGTCAGAGGACGCAGGTATAGCTTCATCCCTTTTTGTTCTTTTAATGTAATTGAATCTGTAACAGTGATTTTGATTGTATTTTTTTTCTTGCTGTTGTTTTGTTTGTGTACTATTGCTTAGTTCTTATGTGAGACACACTTCAAACTAAAATTCATTTTGTGTGGGATATACAGTGTTCATCCAAGACCCACCAGTTTTGTGTTCTGGGATGGGAAAAGCTGAAAGGCTTCATTTCTTTTCTGTTTATTGAATAGCTAGAAAGCACATACAGAAGTTTTCATTAATTCTTCAACTCCTTCAGGAGTTGGTTTATTTTTTTGCTTCCAGCACTAATATGTAGAAAGTACTTGAAATTCTTTTATAGCTGTGGGATGCAAAACAGGAATCAGGTGACTAACCTGATGAAAGAAATCTGTTTGCAGCAGTCTGATTCTGGACTTCTTAAAGTAGAGCGTATCTTGGAGTCTCAGTGGGACAATTTTAATTGTTGATTGCTTGCATCCAACTTGACCTTCAGTTCAGCTTAAACTTGTTTCAGTGAGACATATAGGTGCTTTGTCTGGATTTCTAGCTTTGCTGTTAGGACATTTTATTTCACTGCAGACTTGTAGTCAGGAAAGGAAATTGACAAAGTATTTTGAAAGTCTTCCTGTGAAAGCTGCTCTACATAGCTTAGAACATGTGAAAGAATTGGTTGTTCTGCTGATTCATAGCTCATGTGCAATTGCTAATTTCTAGAATTTGGATATGATGATTCAAAGAGTATTCAAACTCAGAAGTGGCTACTATGACTAAATATTGATAGTTTGTGAACATTAGACTTTTTGATAGCTTTTAGTAACCTCATGACATAGAGAAATGTGTTATGTAACAAAGCATTCATCTTGTACAGTGCTATGAAAAATGAGGCTTCTCTGTGTGAATACCAGAGATGTTCTTAGCATGTATACAGCAGGAACTGCCACCTATATATTTATCTACTCTGTTAGTAAGATCTACTGCTGATTTTTAGTTGGGTTGCTCATTATTCCAGTAGACTTGCCACTCTATTAGCTAAACACTTTGTAATTAGCCTCAGGTTCATTGTGGTGTATTGCTGGCACTGATACTCCTAACTGTTTTTCTGGTTTTTAGGTTAGATGAGGCTGCATTGTCTCTTCAGAAGGAAAAGAGTATTTATAAGGAAATTGAAAATTACCCCTCTTGTTTTAAGGTAAATTCAAAGACACAACTTCTGACAGTGCATTTCAGGGTTTTTTTCTGGGTAGCTAATGACAGCTGATATCTGACTGACCATATGTACCTTTTGATTCAGGGATACGTTTCCTGCTAAATGATGAGACTGTAGTAGTGCATGTTTCCCCAACCTCTAACTGCTTTCTTCACTACTATAATTTTTAAGATAAGATGCTGTTGTCAACAGGAGCTGTCAAAACCATAAATGCATAAAAAATTAAGATGTTATTTAACATAACGAACGACAAAACCTGTTACTTGGTGCAGCAGTTCATTACAATGTTATAGGAGATAATCTGTTTAATAACCAGCTGAGGATATGGCTTTCTGCCATGTTGTTCTGACTCTCTTGTGTCTGTATATTAGAATGATTGTGGATTATAATGACCTTCATGCTAAATATTAGCAGTCTACCATTTTTCTCTTATTTTGCTGCTAATTTCTAAAGAATTAATAGGTTTACTTTGGTTTATTTCTTTTTGTTTAGAAAACTATTGCTCAAGTCTTAGTTCATCTTCATAGAAATGATTATGTTGCTGCAGAAAGATGTGTGAGGGAAAGCTATAGGTAAGTCTGCTTTCTGTCCTATAATTGTAAACTGAGTGTTTCACTGATGTAGATCTATTTTGCTTGACAGTGTTTCCATTGTTCTTTCCTAAATTTTTAACTTGCACTTCTGTTGACTTGCAGCACAATAATAACATTCCCTTGTATATGGCTATGAGGAATTTTTTCCACACTTAACAGGTTTAGCTGTAATTACTACAGTGATTCTTCTTAATGAAACTAAACTAAAAGAACTAGTTATGTGTGACAGGGGAAATGAGATGGACATGAGAAGTTCTTTCCACATTTTTCATTGTTACAAGCTGAGCAGAATACTGTTATGGCTGGGATTCTTGTCGTAGTGATATCCTTTGGGCTGTGTCTTTTCAGATGGAACAGAGACGGATAAGATGTTATAAACAAATGTTTAGGATTAAAAGTGGGTATTTCCAGATGTTGCTAACTGAATTTTAATTTTTTCAGAATGACCCTTAGAAATTTTAAATTCTAACTTGTCGTTACCGTATTTTATGCCAGTTTGAGGATGGAAATATGGAATGGAGTATCGAATAGCAGCATCTCAGTAAAATCAATTAAATTATCTAGTATGGTGATTAAATTGAGAGCTAGATTAATTGTTTTTGTTAAAGAAATGTTTTGCAGCACATGAGTTGCTACATTTCTGGTTATGCTGATTTAGAAGATTTGCCCTTATTACACATTGGAGGGAGAAAAGCAAGATTGCTACTTGTGACTTTTTTTTCTAAGTAGCTGATTTGAACTGAAAGATAATGTAAGAAGCAGAAAGTAGTCAATATGAATACAGTGAAATGAAGCAGGCATTCTTTACACATCCATCAGAAAATTTTGGTGTCAGAATCTGAATTAGTGGTTTGACCTGGTTCCAGAGGCTTTCCCAGCAGCTCTTCATTCAGCTTTCATTAGGACTTCAGTAACAAAATCCTGAAACAACATATTTTTACTTCAGTTGTGTTTTTAGTGAAATGACTTGAACATATGTATAAGCTAAACTATATTTTAGTTTTAGAAATAATTTTTGAAGAACAGGCTTTAAACATCTTGTTCATATTTCCCAAAACTTCAATTTGTATTTAATATATGGAAACTCATTACAGATTTTTTTCTGTATGGAAAGTAGAGGAAGATTTTATTGACTAGTCAGGGAAAAAAATTGAAAAATTCTAATATTCTCTTTCTGTCTTGACTGTGATTGTGATTTTATTCTCAGCATGCAAACTAATGTTGCTGAAAGTTTAATTTTATGTATGTCATTCCTGTAACTGGAGTCATCAAAGTGGTTATAGGCAGTTGTGTGGAATAAGCAGTCTGTCAGTCTTAGAAGCTGCTCACACTTCTGCTGTTAAATCAGTACCATTTAGAGACAACAGCTGAGTGTCAAGTAGATCGCTGAAATGCCCTAGATGAACTCTTAATTTCCTTCAGTATACCAGGATTTAATGGAAGTGAAGACTGTGCAGCACTAGAGCAACTTTTAGAAGGGTATGACCAGCAAGATCAGGATCAAGTTTCTCGAGTCTGTAATTCTCCACTCTTCAAATACATGGATAATGATGTAAGTAAGCAGTTCCTGTGATCTGTTTATTTATTATAATCCTTTTGCTTGTTCAGGTAAAGAGAGATGATTTTTCACAGTAGAGGAAAACAAGAAGAACACAGTCCATGTGTTTATCCTACCCTGACCCTGTGAACTTTAAGCATTATTTTACTTTGCTGCCTGCCAATGATGGTGCTGCCTACCTTTCAGGTGGTTTGAGGCCTTAGGTGAAAGAGCAACTTTGTATGGATTTGCCAAGTTCATTTAACGAGTTGACCAAAATTCAGTCCCCTTCTGCTAGGTTCCTTAGGGACCAGAACAGTTTGCTGCTTCTGCTGTTCCTCAGAAATTGTATATATCAGATAGGTGTGCATAAGCATTACAGAGTATGATGCCTATGGGGTGGCACTGTTGAATGCTTTATTTTTTTCCATCGCTTATTCCTTAACAAGGTACTAATTCATGAAAGATTTTTAATTTTAAGGAAGTAGTTTTGTCCATTTCCTCACCCTTTTTTTTTTAAAACAAAATTGAACTTGTAGATTGGCAGAAGTATAAGGATAGGAGAGGACACATCCATCCACATTAAACCTCGTAACAGTGTTGACTAATTTTACTTTGTTACTATGTTGAATAGTAAAAGTTAAGGTACCAGTGTTGCTGAAAAACAGTTGTAAGACTTTTTTATGTGGTCTATTGCTAGATAATGTATGCAGAGGTGCATACTGGAATTTATTTTTTTTACGTAAAGCTTGAACCAGAGAAGCTTATCGGCTGTGGCCAAATCATTCTCTAATTACCAGTATAAATCAGATCTTGCATCCTATCCTCACAGTGTTCCAGATAGAGGAAAAATGAACCAATGTTATTCTAAGCTGGAAAAATATATCCTGAGAGCAGCATAATGTTTTCTGTACTGAATGTTGCCTGCTTGTTTGTTGTGAGCATCAGTCAATTCTATGATAGTACAGAAATTAAACTTGCCTTGTTATTGTCAGTATGCCAAGCTTGGTCTTACCTTGGCGGTCCCTGGAGGTGGAATCAAGAAGAAAGCACCAAATGCTGCACAAGACAAAGCCAGAGGACCAGCTGCAGGGGGCTCTCATGGTGATGAGGAAGACGATGAATATTCTGGTGGACTATGTTAGCTACAGACTGGGTTGTCTTAAATATCTGACCTATTTGTGATGTTGAGCATATCCAAAGGTTTACCAGATTTACCAGAGCTTCATTGCAATTGTGATATGGGAATCCTGATATTAACTTGGCAGCTTCTGGGTACAGTACAGGAGAAAAAGCATGATTGTACCCATCATCTTGAAACACCTTTGGACTTCATCTCTTACCTGGTAGGAGCTTCCTCAGGGCCCTGCCTTCAGTTGGTGGGAAATATTTGAGAGAATTTTTACTAAAAGCACAGTTTAAAAGAAACCAAAACCCCAGAAGCACTGGAGTGGGGGAAGTGGTACAAAATTTTAAACACTGGATTTCAAGAGCTGACAATTTTTAGTCCCAGCAAGATGTTTGCATTTGTTGTCAGAGTTAAATGTGACATCATTCATCTGCCTATTGACCTCCTGTTTAACACCGTTTAAGGCAGACTCTGCCAGACTGGATTTTTAGTAGTGTAAGCACTAGGGGGAGCATTCAGTTTATTTTCAACATGTTTTCACTCTGCTGGGGAATATTATTTTAATACCTTAGGCTTTGCACCAGTATCCATGCGAGTGTGGAAAATACTAAGTCAACTAGTTTGAAATTATCTTTCCTCTTATGAATTTAATTAACCTGAAGTCTTTGGAAATAAGTGTATGTATAGTGTTTGTAATGTGCACCTTGGGAAAGGAAGGAGTGAACAACCATTCCCAGCATGTTTCTGAAGCATGCCATAACCAAAACAAAAGGAACTGAAGGTAGCAGATAATGTGCATTGAATGTAAAATTCTGAAGACAAATGTTTAACAAAATAATGTTTCAGTGATAATTTTTGAGTTCATGAGTGTTGTAGATGTTTATTGGCTAATCAGTATGCTAGTCTGTGAAGGCATTAGATTATTTCATATTTTCAGAGCTTAGAAGAGCTATCTTCTACAAACAGCATTTTTCAAAGTAGCTCAGAATCCAAGGTAACCAAATTTTAATGCATCTTCTCTATTTTTGTTTGAAGTCATCATGTGTTTTGCGAGCATCTGTAGTGTCTTAAGTTTGTTTTACCATTTTATGCTTAAAAGTTGTCAGCTCTAGAAGTTGTACCTGTGGTTTGCTTCTCCAGAAAAACCTAATCAAGATCTGCACTAGGGTGACATCACTTGGAATCCAGCAGGGATTTGTGTGTGATGCCTGAAGCTCAATAAACAAGAGACCAAAAGCACAATGTTAAGTACAGATTCTGCTATATTAAGGAATTGGTTGTCTTCAAAAATACCAAGCATGTGTCTGACATATGTGTAATGCCTGATATCAGTGTGTCAGACATAATTGTGATGAAGGTTGAACCTTTAGAGGGCTAATACTTGGGGTGGATAGCACTCAGCATTCTGATGGGTGATCTGCATGATTTGCAGGCAAGGCTGCTGTAAAAAGTCATGTTATTCAATTTAATGGGTGCTCAAAACCAGTTTTGTCTCTGTGCTGTGTGGGTTTTAAAGCTATTTAAGATGCATCTGTAATTCTTCACTATTTGATGGGTAATGTCCCTGTTATTGATGATGTGTATAGAAGTTTTTTCTCTACAGAATTTTAGGAATTGAGTTGCTATTCTCTGAGGATGCTTGCAGGTATACGTGAAAGATGGTTTTGAAGACTTTCCTGTAACTTTTATTTTCACCAGTGGAGCAACTCACTCCAGTTTACTCATTGCTTATTGGATTTGTTAATCAAGTTGAACATACATTTTTTTATGGAGAGTCTTTATCACAGGTAGAAAAAAACCCACATATGTAGTAGCTCTAGGAACACTAAGTAGTTTTCTTCAAGCATTTCCTGCTCCTCCTAATTCTGAAATCAGTTTTACTGAATTTTTATTGAGTCTACTTTTTGCGTGTGTGAACGATTGCATACATCTGGGAAGATGAGGTCCATAAAAAGAAAAGCTGGGAATCTTGTGTGCTTCTGTGAAAGAATTTGCAGATTTATTTAAACTGTGCTTGTAACATTAACAAGTCCTTAAAAAATAAATTAAAATTTATGAGTCAGGTTCTGAAAGCATACTTTTCATATTGCCAGTAAAAAAAACCCCAAAACAATCCCATAACAAATGTGCAAGACTGTCTTCCCCACTCCCTCAAGTTGGTGTTTTTTCTGTGCCAAGTGTGGAAAATCAGACAAAAGTAGCTGGTACTAAACATGTCAAGCTGCCATTCAATTGAAAGGGGCTTCTCTGATTCTTAGTAGTAGAATCTTAATCTTTGATTGCAATGATGCTGCCAAGACCAAATCTGCAGAAATAGAAGTCTCTGAAAATAAGATGGTCTATTTTATATAACTTATTCTCCTATTTTAGACAGTGAAAGTGTGTTAGGAATGTTAACTACCTTTTAGTAAATGTTTAACTATAAAAGAAGCTGTCTGTATATTGTGTTAGTGTTTGTTTTATCTTTCAAAGCAATTTGCACACTTATGTAAATACCATTTATGTGATCTAAAATGGAAAAGATAACCATTTACAGCACGAAAGTTTCCAAAACCAGTGTTGACTGTAAGAAAAATAAAGCTAAATTGTGCATGAAGGCTGAGCAATGGCCAATGCAATGTATATGTAAAATCTGAAGATTTCTAAATTATCTGTAACTTAATACTCAGATGATCGAGTGCAGTGTGAAACCTGTGCTTTATTTGTTCTTTTCCCAAATCTGTGGTGTAATAGAGTACCAAATGTGTTTGTAACAGCTCTACAGATGCTGCCTCTTGAGAAGAGGCTGTGTGTTTCACCAACATGAAAAATAAAACTTGAAATTAACACATTTGTGGTCGCTTTCCCTGTTGTTGATTGGGTCTTCCTGAGTGCCACCATTTGAAAATGAATATTGCTTTTTAATCTCGAACACATTTTGTGTGAGACCTTTGTCTGCAGGTCTTGTCACGAAACATTGCAGGTATATGATGTGATCAAGAACCAAGTCTTGGGAATCTGCTGGCTCAGGTTTGAGTATTGAAACTCAGTGGTGTCCAATCTTTGTGGCTTAGTCACTAGACATTTGCTTAGAGCCTCTTTCATTTATCCTGTCGCTTTTGTTTTTCTGACTAACCTTTAGTTACCTTTCTGCTGGCTTTCATTTTCGGAGATGGTGACACATCTTAGGCAGTTCTGTCCACTTAGAATAAAAGGTATGCACGTGTTTTGCCTCTCTGCTGCTGATAACATCTTGCTCTCTTTTGGTATCACTTCACTTCCCAAAGACTTTTATTCAGAAAACAAGAATTTTATGCTGGGTGATTGTCAGACCTGAATTTGTTGCCTTTAACAATATGAAATAGAAATAATTTGATTCTCCAGTCCTCGTTCTTTCTTAATCTTTATTATGCAAAGCATAAAATGGTTTAAAAAAAGACTATTTCTAATGATGAGAGAGGACATAGAGATAAAGCACTTGTTTCCACAGTTGGGCTGTGTAGCAAAGTCTTGAAGTGTTTTGGAAGAATATTCATATATACTCCAAGGTTTACCTGAGTGAACAGCAGGGACACAAGAAAGATTCTTGCACCAAACTATGCTTTGAGTATTGCAAATGCATAATTTCTTTCATAGTAGGTGTGTGATTGGATTTGAATGAAAACCTGTTCTGTTAAAAGTACATAAACTCTGTAGGTTTATGTATGTGCTGAGTTTGTACAGAAATAGTGAAGAGGGTGTGGCATTTGAAGTATAAATGTGAATTTTAAAACTGTCGAGTTTGTTAATTATATTTGTCACTTGGGTCAGATTTTTAAAGTGGTTTTCAGCATGAGAATGCAAACTTGCCATGTTTCAATTGGATCCAATGAGGAATCTGAAAAACAAATAGATTGCAGCATTTCAGAAAATACAGATCATTACACAATTTAAGGATGTGAATTCCATAACTCTTTGGAGACTTCATAACTGTAGAAAAGTCACCTTTTCTACTGTTTTAAAGTCAGACTTGCTGGAATACTTGAAGGCTGAAAAATGTGTCACTGAAGCTACTCAGTGTGATGGGAATCCTCAGATTCTGCAAATAAGCAGCTGTAAATATGATAAGAACTAAGCTGCTCTTGGAAAAAAATTTTTTTTAAAAAAAAGTTTTATCTAGATTTGTAATAAGTACTGAACTTTTTTGGATGCAGGAAATGGAAAAGAAAAGCAACCCCAACCTCAACAACTGGTAGTGGTAATAAAATTGGAGCAAAGCAGATGTAACTTTAGAGAGCAGAAAGGAACCACTTGGGATCTGTGGTTGATTGAGTCTGAGCAGGGATATTAATCTCCAAGCTCGTGGTCTGTAGATGCCAGCAGCCCCAGGAGCAGGGCTGATATCTTCCTCTACCTTGGTACCTGCATGAGTGTTGTCTCTGACCACCTTCCAAAAGGCTGATAGGTCTTTGTTTCAGAGCGACTGTCATTGCCCGTCAGCTGTGATTTCCAGTGCACACACAGCACAGCAGTGTAGCCTTCAGCCTGGAACAGGAGCGAGAGGCAGCTGCAAGGCTGCACGTACGTTTTAAGAACTTAAGGCTGTTGTGATTCATCTGCTGAGTCCAATGGGAATAGTGGTAATGAGCGTGGCTGGACTTCACAGTGCAGGCTGCCAGGACGTTCACTGGTGTGCGACCAGTTTAGACTACACAACGGAAACATTTCAATACTGGAGTGACGTAAGCATGCCCTAGCATGTGCAGAGTGAGACTGGGTTGTCAGTTGCTTGTTTTGGATATGTATTTATGTGCCTTTATTTCGCGTTGTTTCTAAATTCGGTGTGACCCGGAGCGGATGTTTTCCCAAGAGCGTTGTTCTCTGTTGGCGCTAGATGGTGCCGCAGAGCTGGCACGGGGCTTTCCTTTGCTCCGTGTCCAGGGCTGCTTCTACGTTTAAACAGGCTCAGCTGGAGTATTTATTTGGCTAGAAACATCTGCACGGGGACCTGCTCTTGCTGCTGCCTCTCATGGCTTGAAACACACGCCTGAAGTTGTTGAAGACAGCAGTGCTGTAGAGCCATCACCTTCCCCTCCTCTACTGGCTGCCATGCAAGTCTTCTGGCATGTGTTGCTGTCCTGCCAGGCAGCTGTGCCAGCTGCTCCAGCATATGTGGTCAGTGCTGTGT